GCGCTGGAGCGCGGCCCGGGGAGGGCCCAGGCACGGCAGGGTTGCCCGTGCGCCGTTCTCGTGCACGATGGCTCTCGAGGGAAGTCGGGCGCTGTCCCTCTACAGGGGGGAGATTCAAGAATGGTCAAAACATGGTCTGGGGGGGGCATTTTTTGTTTTTTCGTTGTTTTCATATTTCATCGTTTGAAGATTTTCAATGTTTCGTCCAAAATCCCCCTGTAGGGGGACAGGCCCGACTTCACTCTCGAGGGTGGCGACGGGGCGCCCCCACCCAAGCCTTGCGGCTGGCGCGGGGCCCCCCGGCAGGCGGCCGCCCGCGAGTCCTTCGGAGGCGGCGGCCGCCTCTCTGGCTCGAGGCGGCCCGAGCTGGGGGCCTCCCGCCTCCTCGGCGCTCCTGCTGCCGGTGGCTGGGCGCGGCCTCGGCTCTCCTCCGAGTCCGGCGCGCCCGCGGAGGAGGCGAGAGAGCGGTGAGCGAGGGTCCGGGCCTCCCAGGTGAGGTCCGGGCGGATGGGGCCGGGGGCTCGCACCGCACGGCCGATGCATCGGCGATGTGGCTCGATGTGCAGCCCGATGTCTCTTTCCGACGTCGCCTGTGCTTCGCCCACGTCGCCGATGCATCGCCGATGCGGCGCCGATGCGGCGGAACCCTCCGACCGCATCTGCTCGGACCCTGTCTGGGAGGCCTCGAGGTGAGCGGGGGTGTGGGCATGGAGGAGCGAGGGGCTGAGGGGGGGGGGAGGGTCGAGAGAGCGAGAGGCGAGGAGCAGGGGTGGGCGGCGGGCCAGCTTCCGTCAGCCTCCCTGCGGGGGCCGGCGGGCACGCTCGACTTCGGAAAGGCCAGCAGGGGTTCCAAAGGGGCAGGGGCCCACCATTCTGATGATGATGGATGCACCTCTCTTGCTGAAGCCATGGTCTTTCGTGCTGAGCGTGGCCTCGCGTGCTAAGGCTCATCCTCCTCCTCCTCCTCCTCCTCCTCCTCCTCCTCCTCCTCCTCCTCATCATGATCATCACAGCAGCAGCATCATCAGCACCATCATCAGCATCAGCATCATCAGCATCATGATCAGCATCATCAGCATCAGCAATATCAGCATCATCAGCATCATCAGTAGCACCCTCGTCATCAGCATCATCATGATCGTCATCATCATCGTCATGTTCGTCATCATCACAGTCGTCATCCTCATCATCAGCAGCAGCATCATCAGCATCGTCATCAGCAGCATCGTCAACAGCGTCAGCATCATCATCATACTCGTCATCATCAGCATTCTCGTCATCAGCATCATCAGCATCATCATCAGCATCAGCGTCGTCATCATCATCATAGTCATTTTCGTCATCATCATCGTCATCATCATCTTCGTCATCTTCGTCATCATCAGCATCATCATCGTCATCATCGTCATCATCGTCATCATCATCATCATCATCGAATTCCACGCACCAAAGGGTCATGCTTGCCATGGGTAATGCTTGCGTGTAGCCTCAAGTCGGGCATACCCCTCTACAGGAAGAAGATCCAATATCAGTCAAACACTAGTCTGGTGACGAAATCTCGTGCCTTCTTGAATGTTTGTGAGGATGTTTGATTCCATGTTGTCCGTAAGGGCTTCGCCCCCATGCCGCCGGCCCCCCCTCTCTTAGCATGGGACTTGCCAGAGATGTGTTGGGATGTCTGGACGCACGTGAGGCAATGTCGGGACTTCACGCGAGGGCCAGTATTCATTTACGAGGGCTTATTGCCTCGGTGGCGCGAATATCTGGGAATTTACTATGGGTTATGGCATCGGGGACGCGACTATTAGATAAGTTACAAGGGTGTGTGGCCTCGGGGACGTAACGATTGCGTAATTTACTATTGTTTATGACCTCGGGGGCGCAAGCATTGGGTAATTTTGTTATGGCTTATGGTTTCGAAGACGTGAATATTTTGTAATCTGCAAGGGTTTGTGGCCTCGGGGGTGCAAGTATGGCGTACTATACACAAGGTGCATGGCCTTGGGGACGCGAACATGGTATACATTATCAAGGCTTATGGTTCGGGGACGCGCGTATGTTGTACGTTGCAAGGGTTTATGGTTTCGGGGGCGCGAACCTCATATAATTTACTAAGATGTATGGTGGACGCGAGAATTGTATTATTTTTTCCAAGGGTTATGCTTTCGGGGACGCGAATACTATGTAAGATACTAAGTTCAATGGCCTCGGAGAGGCGAATAAGTGTAATATACTAAGGATTATGGCTTTGGGGATGCGAGTATGAGTATTTGCACGTGTCTCGCGACCCCCCGGGAATTCAGACAACGCGACTCGGGGACGCTAACCAGGACGCTTTTCGGCTCCCCCCCTCGTGCGCTGAGCAACAATCAACAGTAAGGAAGCAGACAGCAGGACTGTAACAGTGGAAACTGTAAACTGCAACTGCCACAGGGAGCTGCAAGCCTAGTCTTCGCAGCCTGACGGATATTTCATTTTAAACCACCTTTAGGATGACATGCCCGACCTACGTGCAGCCGTTGAATCAGAGGGGACATCGCAGCAAGAGCAGCTGCATAAATAGCACACATGACCAAAGTGTCGGCGCTCCGCGCGGTTGTTGTTTCGATCTGCGCTAGAAGCGCTCCAGAAAGAGTGATTCGGCGCAGGTCAGAGAAACTCGCGTTTATGCAGCGTGTTCGTCTTCGATTTCGGCTCCGCCGTTAGCACGGAGTCTGTGGGCCCCAATTTCACCGCCTGCGCTGGGTTGAAGGGCATCAGTGGGAAAACACACGTTGGCGCTAACACACTTTCTGGTGATCACCGAACAGGGCCCACCACCTGGAGAGGCCTCCGCGGGCCCTGTCAGGGGCGGTCAGAGGGGGTGATGGCTACGGGGGTGGATCTGTCATGGCCGTGGCCATGATGCCTCCCTGGATGCCACGGCCCCCCTCTTCTCCCTTCCATGCGTCCACTGGCCCCCACGTCGCCCGTGCACGTGCCTCCGACCATGACTTGGGGACCCCCCTCTCGGGCGTCCCCCTCTCGGGCGCCCCCGGGATCGCCTCCCCGCCAGGCCCGGGAGGCTCTGCAGCCGCCAGGGCGTGGGCCCTCTCGGCCCACCGGGCGCCTCCGATCTCTTCGGAGCGCGGGGGCCTCGTGACTCGGCCCGCCTTGCGCACGGGAGGCTCGTGATGTGTGTGTGTGTGTGTGTGTGTGAGTGTGTGATTGTGTGTGTGTGGTTCATCCCCCCGCCGCCGCCTGGCTCCGCTCTGAGCGGGCCCGGCTTCCTCCTCCCTCCTGCCGTCTCCGGGCGCCTCCTCCCTCCCCCTCTTGCGTGGTGGACGGATTCGCGGTCGTTTATCTTCCAACGCCTCACCACCAGCGCAGTCGGAAAGAAAAGCTACGGAGCTCGGACACGCAGAAGCAAGGTACGGTCGACGCTGCAAAGCCCTCCTGTGCTCAGCTGCGTTCTTGCTCTCATGGACACTGCGCAGGCCTGACGAAAGCTTGAGAGGTCCCCTCCAACATGTGAACCTCCGAGAGGGGAGCCGCCCGGCCTCCAGAAGTCCTGTCGAAGCCAGCGAGGGTGCCCGGGGGCCAGTGGGCCCCATCGGCCCTCCCGACGGCCGGCCGGCGGCACGCGGTGGGCCTGGCGGCCGCGGCATGCAGTCGTCACTCATCTCTGGTTGGCCAAAGAGGGGGTCCAGCTAAAAGGGGGGGGGCAAATTCTCCAGCACCACTACCATATGCAGCAATTTTCCAGCTACAAGGGGGAGAAGGGAGGCTGAGGTCCTCCTCCTCCTCCTCCTCCTTCACCTCCTCCTCCTCCTCCTCCTCCGCCTCCCCTTCCTCCTCCTCCTCCTCCTCCTCCTCCTCCTCCTCCTCCTCCTCCTCCTCCTCCTCCTCCTCCCTCTCCTGCCTATGTTAGTGGTGGTGGACAATGACTCCATCAACAAGGGGGTAGTGCAATGGATCTGGGGCAACAGGTCTGTGGAGTCGCAGGGGATTTGGGGTGCGCAACACATAGAGGAACGTTTAATGACATAAACATAAAACAAACTCGGAGGTCCGCGCGGATTTCTCGGATCGCCGCAGGACCCCCCTGGCAACGCCTCCGGTGCCGCCTTTGGCGCGCTCCGCGCGCCAGGAAGGGGGGTCCAGCGCCGATCCGAGAAATGCGCGCGGACCTCCGAGTTTCTATGTTTATGTCATTGTTCGTTCCCCCAATACATTCGGGGACGCAGATGCATTGCTCGACTTCGCGTGCAATGAATTTGTTACAATACAGTGCAGTACACTTGTCCGGCTTAGTACGTTTGCGATACACCTGTCCCAAATCTACTGCACCGCCCCCGTTCAGCTGGACCACCTTTTGGGTCAAACAAACCATCGAAATCGTGAGGCGGGATACACAGAGCACAGGCACACTTTGGGCCTGGCGGCCGCAGTAAGTAGGTCGTGTGAGGTGGGTCGGGAGCTCGCTCCTTAAGGCTAACCGCATGTCGGGCGGAGAAGACGTCGATATGTCCAGCAGAGCTCGGGACGGGTACATGTGATCAATGTCACGCGCGCCGTTCTTCTGACTGATGCTCGATCGCCTGTTGTGCGAAAGCCTGGCAGTTCTTCACAAGTAACGCGCTGATGGAGTCGTCCGACAAGCGTGGCATTGATATGAGTTCTACTCTCCGAGGAGCGCCAGAGGTCTGGCCCTGCGGACGTTTGGCGGTGGTGGGCGCTCTCCTCTTAGGGAGCGCAAAGGGGGTCACCACTAGGTATCGGACGCTTCTGAGCGTACTTGGATGTCTCGAGGTTTGTTCTTGCCAAGCGCGGCGCACCAGCAACGTGTTTCGTTTGGGGAGGGAGAGGGGAGGGGCGGGAGGGAGGGGGACTAGGAAGGGAAGAATGTGGCTAGAGTGCGCAGTGTTGCGCAGCAGCCTGATGCCGTAGTCGCCCCTTGCTACGGCAAAGGCCCCGGTCGCTCCCTGGTGCTTGCCTGGTCCACCTCTCCCCCTGAAAAGGGCTACAACAACTGGAACACCACGCGCCCGGACGACCTGTTCTTCGCCCCCGTCGAGCAGGCGCGGCCGACACCTGCGCGCGCCGCCTCTCCGTCGCCGCGCTCGGGGCGGCTCGAGGACGCTGGCGGCGTGGAGTGCGAGCAAGAGACCAGACATGCTCGACGGGAGGTTTTCGGCCGTTTTCGGTCTCTGAGGGCCGTCGCCGGGCCCTGGGACCGTCAGCAAAACGACTCGGGGTGGAGAAACGTCTCGGGGACAATGTCGGGACTTCGGGGGACTGCGTCTTGAAAAAAAAACATGACACTGAATGTCTGGGCTGAGATCCGGGCGTTGCATTTTTTCCTACGGCGTTTTTGCCCAGTTCCAGGCCCCGGGGCCATCACATCCGTCCGGCTATAACAGATGTCGCAGGACGATGCAGTCCAGGGCTCCGGTTGAATTTTTCGCGGTGCGGCATTTTTTCGCAACGCCAGATTTTAGGGATGACGGCGATGAGGAGGGGAACGTGGATGATGATGATGATGATGATGATGATGATGATGATGATGATGATGGTGATTCTGAGTATGATTATCAGTGTGATTTTGATTGTGGTTATGATTATGGTTATGATTATGCTGATGATGGTGTTGTTGATGATGATGGTGATGATGATGATGCTGATGGTGAGGATGATGATAATGATGAAGAAGCAGGAGAAGATGCAGATGATGATGATGATGATGATGATGATGATGATGTTGATGACGCGGGTGCTGGTGACGATGATGATGGTTATGGTGATGGTTGGTGATGTCGATGCCGATGATGAGGATGATGATACCGACGACGACGATGTCGTTGCTGATGATGCTGCTGTTGACGGCTAGTTCGATGATAATGACGATGATAGTGGTGACGATGAACATGATGATGATGATGATGATGATGATGATGATAGTGATGATGGTGATTATGATGATGATGATGATGATGATGATGCTGATGATATTGATGATGATGATGATGATGATGATGATGATGGCGATGAGGATGATGATAATGATGATGGATATCATGATTTTGATGATTGTGATGATGCTGATGATGAGGATGATTATATTGACGATGATTATATTTATGATGATGGTGATGATGATGAAGTTGGCAGTGATGGTGGTGGTGATGATGATATTCGATATGAGGAGGAGGAGTAGCAGGAGGAGGAGGAGGAGGCTGAACGCTTTGTGCTAGCACACCCATCCCGAGCAACGTCATAAAAAGGAGGAGGAGGTGGAAGAGGAGGAGGAGGAGGAGGAGGAGGAGGAGGAGGCAAGGAGCAGAAGGAGGAGGGGGAGGAGGAGGAGAAGGACGAGGAGGAGCCCCCCTGCGGCCTCCTCTTCTTCCCTTTTCGTCTCTCTCCCCCTCGTCTTGCCCCGTAGTCTTGGGGTGTTTGGGTTTTGTGAGGCTTCGGCACCGCCTGTATCCGAGGTTATGCCTCCTCTCGGCTCGCTCTGAGGCTCCGCCGCTTCCTCCCTCCTCTTCTCTGCCTATTTCAAGCTTCGCGCGGCCCGCTTAGCTTCGACCGGAAGAGGTGCGTTCTCGAACCGCGGATCAAAAAAGGGTGTTTGGGTTTTGTGATCGCCTGGTCTGTCTTGCTCCGCCATCTTCGTCCTGGTCTTCCTCGCTACGTTCCTGCACGAGCTTCGACCTTCTGGCCTGCACGACGGGCCCGGTGGGAGGAGGCAGAGGGGGGAGGCGGAGGAGGAGGTGGGGGGAGGAGGAGGAAGACGAGGAGGGCGACGAGGGGTGTTGATAAGTGGGGAGGAGGCGGAGGCGGAGGAGGAGGCGGGGCCAGGTGGCGGAGTTAGGGTGCGGACGAAGAGGAGGAAGACGTGTGGAGGATGAGGAGGAGGGGAGGTGAGGATTAGGAGGAGGAAGGGGAGACAGGGCATGAGGAAAGGGCATTGCGAGTATGAGGTTGGAGTAGAACAAGTTTGAGAGGAGTAGGGGGGCGAGGAGGAGAAGGAGGTTGACGACGAGGTGTGGGAGAAGGTAGAGGAGGAATTGATCGACGTCGCGGATGAGGAGGACGCCGAAGAGGGTGGGGGGAGGCGGGATGATGATGAGAGTTGAGAGGATGGAATGTGGGAGGAGGGGCGGTGATGGTGATGCTGGTGGTTGTGATGAAGTGGTTGTGATAATGATGCTTGCGATGTTTGTGCATTGCTGGTGGTAGTGATGCTGATGATGATGACGACGACGTGACCGACGACGACAAAGAGGACGATTGCGATGATGATGGTTATGATGATTATGACGTTCACCATGATGATGACGTTCACCATGATGATTATGTGTATGATGGTGATGACGATGATGACGGTGATGATGATGATGATGATGATGATGATGGTGGAGATTGTGGTGATGGTGATGCCGATGATTGTGATGTTGATGGTGATTGTGATGATGATTATGATTATGATGGTAATAACGGTCTTGATGATCAGGATGATGTTCATGTCGACGATAGTGATGCGAATGATGAAGAAAAGGATGATGCTGATGGTGATGATGATGATTATGCTGATTATGATGGTGATGACGATGACGATGTTGGTGATGGTGATGGTGATGATGGTGCTGGCGGTGCTCATGAATATGGTGTTGATGATGTTAATGAGGCTGGTGATGATGATGCTGATGCTGCTACTGCTGCTGATAATGGTGATGATGATTATGATGGTGGGGGTGGCGGCGGTGATGTTGACAGTATCGATGATGATGATATTGGTGATGATGGTGATGATGGTACTGCTGATGATTTTGATGATGCTGATGATGCTGATAATCATGATAATGTTGAGGATGCTGAGGAGGATGATTGTGCTTCTGCTGCTGATGACGATGAGGATGATGCTGCTGATGATGATGATGATGATGGTGATGATGATGTTGATGATGATGATGATGATGATGGTGATACTGATGAGAATGTTGATGATGATAATGATAATGATGATGATAATCACACCGCTTCGAACAGGCGGCGCACCCGCATGATGACGACGCCGCGCACCCGCATGATGACGACGCCCCCACCTGCGGCTGGCCGCCCGCGCGCAGGGCCAGGACAGGCGCGAGAGGGGGGGCGGCTCGATCCCGGAGCACCTGGCGGAGGAGAGCCGGCTCCGCCGGGGAGGGCGGTCGCCGCCGCCACCATCGTCGCCGTAGTTGCCGAGATGGGGGGCGGCTCCGCCGCCGCCGCCGTAGACGCCGTCGCTACCGCCGCTGTCGTAGTTGACGCCATCGACGCCAACGCAGTCGCCACCGCCGTCGTCCTTGCCACCGTCGTCGCCGTAGCCGTCGGCTCAATCGTCGCCGTTGCCATTGTCGCCGTCGCCATCGTCGTCGTCGACGCCGCGGTCGCCCAGTCGTCGGTGTCGCTTAGTCGTCTCCGTCGCCAGGGAGTGCCGTCGCCACCGCTGCCGCCGCCGCCGTCCGCGGCGCCTCTGCCAGCTGCGGCAGCGGCGGCGTCGACGACCGCCTCCGCGGCAGCCGCAGCGGGCGAGGGTGGCTGCCGCGGTCGGGCCAGGAGGCCAAAGGCTGCCAGGCCCTGGTGCTCTGGCTCGACTGCGACCGCGAGGGCGAGAACATCTGCTTCGAGGCCGCTGTCGTCGTCGTCGTTGCTGGTCGCCGCCGCCTGACCAGACCTTCGCCGGATCGGATCAAACGAACTTGAGGGTCACCACCGTGCTTTAGTTGCTCCGATACACTCGTGCTGTGACGCAGCACACATCGTGTTCAGAACGTCCGTCATGAACATGGTGCGTGTTAGTTTGACACATGCTGGCCAATGTTTTTGAGACCGTATCGCGCCACACCTACGTTTTCAATCTATGTGTTGAGCCACGTGTCAACACATTGCGGGCTGCGTGTTGTGTTGGTGTCCAGGGTCCGTTTCCAGACCCCAGGGCCGTCAACAGTTTATTCGGAATGATAAGACGCAGGTCTTGCGGAGCGGGTCGAGACTTCCGGGTCCTGGCGACTTGGTTCTCGTCGCCGCTGTCTCCATCCCGCGCTATCTCGCCTGCTGGCAGGCTAGATGGCGAGATATTTGGAGCTATCATTAAGTCGGACCTGTCCTTCTACAGGGGGAAAGAATAGTCAACAAATAGTCTTGGGACTATTTTTCCAGCATTTTTGGAATATTTGGGAATATTGTGGGGTTATTTCCAATTTTTCGCCCAAAATCCCCCTGTAGGGGGACAGGCCCGACTTAAAGCTATCATCAGGGGTCAGCTAGCTATCACGGGTGACTGTCCACCCCCCTCTTTCGAATGGGGTGGGTGGCCGGGAATTGTCGGCCCTGATTGTTGGTAAAATGTTTGGGCCCAGGTGTGTCATCGCACGTGTCGACGGGGACAATAGTTCTCCGATTCCTTGTCAGCTGTTTTAGCTCGTTCTGCCTTGTCTGCTCCTGCATGCCTGCACGGCGTCATCGCCGTCTCGTGTCTTCCGCGGTCGTTCTTTCCTCTCGCTGTATATCCAAGCGCTGATGCGATGCATGTTTTTCCTGGTCTGCTCTCCTCCTCCGCCTCCTCCTTCTGTCCCGGCAGCGTGGCCGATAGGCGTGCTGCAGTGGGGCTGTCCGCACCCCGAGTCCGGGGCTACTGCACGCGCCCTGGTTTCCAGGGCTCGCTGGCTCGCACGTGGCCCGAATCCCGTTGGGCGCCTCTTCGACCGCTGCAGCCGCAGTGGGAGGCGATGCGCCTCGCGCGGCTCGCGATGCTGCATGCTGCAGCTCCAGGCTCCGGTGCCTTCCCCTCCCCTCTCCTCTCTGTCCTCCCTCTCTCAGGAAGGGAAAACACACAGACAATATTAACAGTCGACTCTCAGAAAGTATGGGAAAATATTGAAGGTGGGGGAGAAACAAAAGCCAGAAAATAGAGGAAAATACAGGGAATCCTGTTATTTGTGTGTATTTATTTGTGTGTCCCAGGACCCCTTCACTGTCTTCCCTCGCATTTTCCTCCGGGAGGCGGAGCGCCGGCTGGCCCTGCTGGGGGTTGCTCGCTCTCTGCCTCCTCTGCCTGCTCCTATTCGCCGTCCTCCACTTGTCCTTTGCCGGCGGTCGCTCGGCGGCCGCATGCTATGGGACAGGCTGGATCGGAAGCAGTGCTGGCTCCCATCTTCTTCTTGGGTCCTCCTCGTCCTCCTCGTCAGCTTTCGCTCGCATCTGCGGGCCGAATTTCGTGACATTTTTGTTGCGCACTGACGCGCCGATGAGCTACTTGAACGTTTTTGTTCCGAAACTCGCGCCGCGGAAATTTTTCGTGAGACTAGCATTCTCTGTGGGTACCGCCTCTGTGTGTGAGGACAAAACAAAAACAGCTAGACATCATCGTTCTCGGCTCGGCTTGCATTGTATCGCCCGGCCGAGAATTATGGATTTGGTCGCCCAGTTTGCGTAACAGCGTGGGGGTTGTAAGACATCCCTGAGACAGCGTGCCCAAAACGCATGTAGTTCAGACATTCACGCCCTCTCCCCAGTTTTTTTCCTCACCCTCCTTCCTGCCAAAGGGGAGAGAGACGAACTCAGCATTAGCACCCCGATGCCAAGAGGGCCCTGGATAGTGACTGCCTGCAGCAGCCGAAGGATGTGGAACCACAACCCGAAGGCAGCGCGACAGCCGCTTTTTGTGAGCCTAGCCCCCCCCCCCTGTTCCTCTGGTCCGACGTGTCCCCAGGGCCACTTTGGCAACTTTCTACCAGGGAGACCACTGGCCAGGGGCACCTTTGCAACCCCCCAGCGCTTCTTCGTTCTCCGCAGCCGTTTTGGCAGGTTTTTTTTCGCTCGGGTACATCCTTTGAAGCAGGAAGGGTCGGTCACGCAGGCCTTCGCTAAGCGAAGTTCGGCCTCGCCTCGCCCCTGCCGCAGCCATGGGTGCCCGGGCATCTGCCGCAGTCCCCGCGACGCCTGCTTCGGAGTGGGCTTCCTACGTGGCCGCCTCTGGCATCGTGGATCCCCGCAGTGACGAGGCGGCGATTCATTTCGTAGCCGATGCTCTCCATGGCACGCCTTTGCCAGCACCGTGGGTCATCTCGAAGAAGCACAAAGGGCATGAACACAAACTGTCGGCGCTCCGCGCGGAGTTCTTGTATCCGCGCTGGGCCCCTCCTGGCGGCGCCTCTGGCGCCGCCCCTGGCAGATCCAGCGCAGATCCAGGAAGTCCGCGCGGAGCGCCAAAAGTTAAGGTTTTGCCGTCGGTTCTTCCTTTATCATCGGGAGCGACGAACAGGGCCAGCGCTCTTTCATTAACGTGCGCACTGGGGAGTCCACCTGGAGGCATCCGCTGGAGGATCCCGCGAAGGCTTTGGCGGATATTTTCAATGCGTCTGCTTTGTTATCGCAAGAGCACCGCGATGCAATGCTGTGCGAAATCCATCAGAATTGGGCAACCGAGGCAAAACTGGCGTACCGCAAGTGGCGTCCTGTGAGGATGGATGACGGTGGCGTGTATCATTTCAACACGACGACGCACGAGACCATGTGGGAGCATCCAGCAGAGGTCGTCATGCCAGGTCACTACATGCGGGTCAGGGCCATCGAGAGGCTTCGCAGCAAGAGCTATCTGGACAGGCTTCACAGCAGAGCATGCATCGCGTACCCCGACTGCAGCCTGGAGCGCGGGACGGACGATGTCGAGTTCGAGCCTGCAGAATGGAGGCTTACTCTGGATCCTCATGAAGCGCACTGGGTCGACTGCGCGTGACTTGAAGCATGTAGCACTCGGTGTTCTGTTCTCTTGACTGGCGGCTGCAGTTTCACCACACTTGTGATTACTACGGTGCAGGGGAGGACGGCATACTTTCTGCACTGAATTCAGCCGGCGATCATCCGTTTTCGGGCAGCCTCAGGGCATGCCACCTGTTCCTTGACCCTTCGCGCAGACGGTCCATGGCACGACTGACGGGACCGTGACGTCGTGGAAGGCCAAGGAGCGCCAGCGGGGCCTGCGTGCAGCGGAACACCATCGGCGGCCGCGACGCTTCGATGCATCACAGCGAGCGCGCGCCGTGGGCGGCCACCCCTCTCTCGCAGCCAGCAAGCGCACTGCTAGCACGCAGCCTTCGCGCCAACGTCGTATGATGTCCACCCCCCTCCTCCTCCTCCTCCTCCTCCTCCTCCTCCTCCTCCTCCTCTCCTCCTCCTCCTCCTCCTCCTCCTCCCTCCTCCTCCCGCGCTAACGTCGCGTGGTGTCCTTCCTCCTCCTCCTCCTCCTCCTCCTCCTCCTCCTCCTCCTCCTCCCTATGTTGAAGGGTCGGGATCTGTGGATACAGCGGGCACAAGGGATCAGAAATTGGCCGGCCAGCGGGCGCCCCACGATGGTTTCTTTTCCCCCGGTAGGGCCGGAGACCCCTCGGGTGGCATGGAAACGTGAGGTCGCCAAAGCGTGGCCACGCACATTTCTCATAGCGAAGTGCCTTATCGTATATGTCTGCTGCTGTATTTGTTGTGTCTGGAGGGTGAATTCCCGTGCGGCTATTCGGAAACAGGGCGCAGCCTAAACATTGTTTTCCTACTTGTTCCCATTTGGTTCCGTTTTACTTGTGTTTTATGTTGTGAAATTGTGAACGCGATTCAAAACACGTTTTCGCATGCTCTGAACGCCGGCCGTCGCGCCCATGCTTTTTGGCCACTGGGCTGCCGATTTGTTGCTCGTTCTGTTCTGGCACAGGCAGGTGCCGCACGTTTTATTGGGCGTTCTGGTTCCGCTCGGGCAAACGCCGCTTGTTTTGTTGGCGTTTTGTTGTGTTGCCAGCTCACCCCCCTAGTACACCCCCCTAGCACGACTCCCCAGCACAACCCCCCAGCACAACCCCAAACACAATCCCCAGCACAACCTCCCAGCCCAACCCCATGGCACAACCTCGCAGCACAACCCCCCAGCACAACACCCCAGCACAACCCCCCAGGACAAGCCCCAACCCACTTCCCCAGCACACTCCCCCAGCACAACCTCCAGCACAACCTTTCAGCACAACCCTCCAGCACAATCATCAGCACAACCCCTCAGCACAATCCCCTCAGCACACCCCCCAGCACAACCCTCCAGCACCCCCCCTCCCCCGCACAATCCCCCAGCACAATCCCCCAGCACAACCTCCAGCACAACCCCCAGCACAACCCCTTGGCACCAACTCCAGCGCAACCCCCCAGCAGAACTCCCTGGCACAACTCCCCAGCACAACCCCTCAGCACAACCCATCAGCACAACCTCCCAGCACACTCCCCCATGCACAGCCCCTCAGCACAATCCCCCAGCACAACCCCCAGCACAACTCCCCAGCAGAACCCCCCAGCGCAATCTCTCAGCACAACCCCCAGCAGAATTCCTTGGCACAACCCCCAGCACAATCCCCCAGCACAACCCCCCAGCATAATCTTCCAGCACAACTCCCAGCACAATCCCCAGCACAACCACTTGACATAACCCCTTGCTGGGGGGTTGTGCTGGGGGGTTTGTGCCAGGGGGTTGTGCCAGGGGGTTGTGCTGGGGGAGTGTGCTGGGGGGTTGTGCTGGGGGGGGTTGTACTCGGGATATGTGCTGGGGGACTGTGTTGTGGGGTTGTGCCAGGGGGTTGTGCTGGGGTGCTGTGCTGGGGGTTGTGCTGAGGTGTTGCTGGGGGGTTGTGCTGGGGGATTCTGCGGAGGGGGGTTGTGCGGAGGGGGGTTGTGCGGAGGGGTCTTGCTGTACGTGTGTGTGCTGACGGGCCACTAAAATTGTTACTCGGGCTCTCGTTGCTTCATGTCGCCTGGTGCTCGCTGGTTTAGTTTCTCGTTTTGTTGGTGGCCCGCGGCCGTGCCACCGTTCTGTTATGCGTTTTGTTTTGTGGTTCTCGGGGGCCGCTGTTTTGTTCAATCGCTGTTTTGTTTTAGAACGGCCCGCGCGACGCCGGCTGGCGTTTTCGCTCAAACTTCGTTTTCAAACGAAATCGAAGCGTGAACAGAAAACATTGTTCAGGTTGCGCCCTGTTCGGAAATGTTGGCCAGGGGCATCCAGGCAGGCAGGAGGTCCAAAGCAGTGCCCACAGCTTCTCTATCTCCGGCGGCGGCAAACCCCCCCTGTGCCCAAGGAAGACGCTGGATGACAATACGATTTAGTTCGATCCTGGCGATTTTTCTCCATGTCGGCCTCCGACTCGGAATCCATGGGGAATGGACAGAGAGCGTCGGACGGCAGTTCATTTTTTCAAGGTACCGATGCGTTTGTGTTTGTGTGTTTGCACTGTCCACCGTTCAGAATTGATCTGATGCGGCCGCGCCTTCGTTGACTCCGCTTGGACTAATACTTCGAGAGAGCTTTCGTGCCTTTCGAGCGTCGTGAGGCTGGCGTGCAGCGACTTCTCATGACGTCAATGAAGAAGAAGAAGCTGCGTTTCAAAAGATGTTCGGAGGTCCGTGCGAATCTCCTGGGATGGGCGCTGAGATCCCCTGGCGGCGCCTCCTTCGTCGCCCCTGGCACGCTCCGCGCGCCAGCGAGGGGGGCGCAGCGCCGAGATAAGAAATCCGCGCGGACCTCCGGAAAGTTATGCTTCTGCCGTTGTGGTTCCACGAGCTGCGTGGCAGTCTGCTTTGTGCGGCCCACCATTCAGAAGTGATGGTCTGCGGCCTCGCCCTTCAACACTCGATGCCTGCTGTCGGATGGCCACCCTAACGGTCGGTCGAGTCCAAGGGATTGTGGCGTGGGCGGGGGGGCGAGGAATTGTATGTTCTTTCTCTTCCTCCTCCTCCTCCTCCTACGCTTCCCCCTCATCTACTCAAGCGCTACAAGTTGGTTGCAGCCTACACCTGTGACCGGATCCTGTTGAAGCAGCCCGCTCCTCTAGTAAGATCAGTTTACATGTCTAACGTATTTGTTTCGGGGCCCGAGCGTGCTCCGCCGCCTGCGGTTCCCCCCCCTCCCGTCCGCGCCCGTCCTTTTCATGCTGTGCCCAGATAGGCCCCGTAGCCCCCTTCGGCTGCCTCTGACCGCTGCGTGGTTCCGCGCCGCTGCGAACAAAAAGACATGCCCGCCCCCCGCCGACCCTACCATGCCCCATTCTCGAGCATTCAAATAGCCCCTGCAAAGGCAAAGGCAGCTGACCACAATGGTCAAGAGCCGTTTTGTGTTGCCCTTCGCCTCTGCAGTGTTTGTTCCGTTGTCACTAGCTTTCCCGCGTGTGTTCCTGGAGTTCCAGCTTCTTGTACCCAAACATCCTGTGGTGTTGGGTCTTCGTTTTGAAGAGGCAGTCCCCGCGTCTTCTTCTCCTCTTGGCCTCCTCCCCTTCCTCCCTCCTTCCGTCTCCCCCTCTCACTTCGGCACACCCCTCACATGTTTCGTGGCCCCACAGGGAACTCCACCAACGGCCCCAGTGGCTGCGTTCGCACGCCGCTACCCCCTTGACGTTGGCACACCGCTCACACGCTTCGTGGCCCCATAGGGAGCCCCATCGAAGGTACCAGCGGCTGCGTTCGCATGCCGCCCTCCCCCCTTCACTTTGGCACACCCCTCACACGTTTCGTGGCCCCACAGGGAGCAACACCGAAGGCGCCAGGTGGCTGCGTTCGCATGCCGCCGCCCCCCTCACTATGGCACACCGCTCATACATTTCGTGGCACCATAGGGAGCTAGACCTGAGGCACCGGTGGCTGCGTTCGCATGCCGCCCTCCCCCCTTCCCTTTGGCACACCCCTCACACAATTCGTGGCCCCTCAGGGAGCCCCACCGAAGTTGCCAGTTGCTGCGTTCGCATGCCGTCACCCAACTTCCTTGGGCACATCCTTCACACGCTTCGTGGCCCCATCGTTATCGTCGCTGTCGCCGCCCAGTTCAGTTTTGTGAGCAACTTGTGGGTGGGTGGGTGGGGTGCTTGCGCGGGCATTGGAAATGATCAGGTGCGGATGCGGTCAAACCTACATCACAGTTATTGCACTACATATACGATTGTTTCTCGTCTAGTGCTCCCCCTCGAGAAGGCACATCTACAGTGCATGGGCCCACTGCTTGAGAACGTTGTGGGTTCACGCTGAAAGGTCCGTTTGTATGTTTCAACCCCCACGTCGTCGTTTCACGGTCAGGGCTCCCAAAGCGGGTTTGCAGTCCCAGACTCAGACCTCCGGCTTTTATTTGTGTTTGAGGATGGTGCAAGTATGGGTCATGTTGTTGTTAATTTGCCAGGAAGGGACGCTCAGGGCGAGTCTGGCAGACCTGAAGGCCCACGAGGCGGAAGAGGCCCTGGGGCGCGACCCCCCAGAAGAACTCCCAACCAGCATCTGAAGACCGAAGATTTCCGAGCACCTCCAAGAAGCATCCGAAGACCTCCAAAAGACCGCCGAGAACCTCAGATGACCTCGGACTGACAACCTCCAGAGACCTCCAGAGACCAGGTGGAGACCTCTGACGACCTACCCCCTCCAACGGCCCAGTGCCCAACTGACCACGGCTCTGCGCGTTCCAATACTCCGGGCAGCCTCTTCAGCGCACGCTCCGAAGTGAGTTGCGGCGCTCCGAAGGTGGTGATTGTGGCAGCGCGCACCGTATGAAACCGAACAGCTCATGCTGCGTGATGCAGTTGTGCTCTGTAAGTCGTAGTGTCAGCGCTGGAAGATCTATAGGCACATTCATATAGTTGCCCGCGGGGTGTCTGGCGCAACATGTTGGGCAACTTTTTGTATACGGCTACTTAAACTCGGGGTGCCTTGGCGGGCAGGCCGGTGCTGGGCAGTCGTTTGACGACAGCGCCGTCTGTTCGGGCCTTCCCGGCAGAAGCAGACTACGTCCTTCGTCATCCTCCTTCGCGTTCTTCGGGAGGGACGGAGAGCATTAGTGACACGCCTGCGTTGGGAACCCGTCAGCGCTTGGGGCCGTCGCTGTTGTCCAAACTCCAGGTGTGTCTGCAACCGTCACATGTTGATGGGTCCCCTTGCGGCGGCGAGCCATTGATTATGTTGCTGTTGACTTTGCTAGTCCTCCTCTATTCGTGTTTGACACCCACACGGCATCTTGTCTGTCGGGCTCTTGGCAAGGTCGGAGCTGGACTGAAGTAAACACAGGCGGTCGATCTTGGGGCACTCTCTTCGTCGAGATCTAGGCTTTCTGCGGTGCCCCAGGGCTTCTGTGAGCCCCCAGGGCCATTGAGGGATACAGTCCACGCGTCTAGTAATGACGCGCGCCTTCATCTGGGGTGCCCTCGTGTCCTTGCCTCTGCGGCCCGTCCTTTGATGTTTTCACTGGTCGCCCGCCGCCCAACAAAATCCCGATTTCGGCCTCCAAGGGTCTTGCGTCCTTACCACCCGTCCTTGATACACGTTTTGGTTACACTTTATGTCCATGGGGCATTTGCTGGCAGGCCGATTTCTGTTTTGACGTGTCCACTGAACTTTTAGGGACTGTCTGTGCGCCACCCCACAGAAGCGATCAGGGTCAGGGTCAGCTCAGGTTCATGGAAGCGGTGCTCGGTTCCCTCGAGGTCCGCATTCGCGCCGATCTTGGATCCGCGCGATTTGGCCTGGCGTGAGCTGTTGAGCCTCACCGTGCACACTGCTGATCGGGAGTACCAGGCCCAGCTGCAGACCGAATCCACTAGTTAGCTGTTCTCCAGTCGTGTTTGCCTCCATAGGTTTCTCTTCGACCTCTGCGTGGATCTTGATTGCATCGCCGCTCTCTCAGATGTGTGTGTTCTCATGCGCTCGGCCTGTGGCTGAGGTGGGCACGTCACCCCACCCCTTCCCTGCTCTTCACATTCCTCCCTTCCGCGTTTGGTGATGGCCAGACGTCGCGCGAAGTTGCCGCCCCCTCTGGCGATGTGATACGACAGCGCTTTTGGGCAGCTGCATCGGCGTCGGCGGTGCAGTGCTGCATATGGTAGTTCAGCATCGGCCTTCGCCCCTCTCGATTTGGGCTGCGGATCGGCTTCCAGACCTTCTTTGATTTTTGTGGGCGACGTACAGGAGCCGAGGAGAAAAAAGACGACGACCACGACGACGATGACGTCGACGACGGCGACGACGACGACGGCGAGGCCAAACGGCGCCAGTCTCTGCCCCTTCCTCCCCCTCGGTATTCGCCCCTCATCTGCACGGACATGGCGTGTAAGTTGCCTGCGCAAGGTGAAGCGCCCTCGTTTCCAATGTTGCGCGCCGCGGCGACGGCCCGCGTAAGCAGGTGCGTACTGTCACTATGCCACCTTGCGCAATACACGTATCTTTTCGTCGCTCACTTGGCTCGCGACGCGAACGGCACTCGCGCGAGGCAACATGAGGCAGCATCGACACTATGTGGATGTTGCCGCAGGGATGATAAGCAAACATGTGGTTCCGTTGCCCCTGCTGTCACGGGCAACGTTGGGGGGGCAAGGTCAGAGAGGAGGAACCTCGAGCTTGCATGAGTGATGCACGGCCGAAAGACCAGCGACCTAGACACCTGGCGTCGTGAAACGACACCACGGGGGTTTCTTGGCCGTTGTTGGCTTTTGGGGGCCTTCGCCGGCCCCAGGACCAGTAGAAAGCAACTCGGGATGGAAAGACAGCCCCAGGAAAAGGGTCGGGATTTGAGTGAACCGCGTAATGAAAAACACATCCTAACCTCGTATGTCTGGGGGGTCGGGGTGGGGTAGGCTCAGGGGAACGCATCTACCTCCAATCGCCCATTCATCACCGATAAGGGGCCCGATGGCCCACCCCGCCCAGGACCGTGCGGCTTTGCTACCAGGGGCCTTCTTCCGATCTCTCGGCGGTGTATTGCCAATTCCAGCTCCATGTTTCCCCCCGGAGTCGGCCCCTCCCTGACGCACCCGATTCCACAAGGGATGCGGAGAGGAGAGTTAGCCCAGGCCTGTGCTAGATTATGCGGTGCCTGCTGTTGGCCTCCCGCGGCGCTAAGCCCGAGCCAGCCTGATAGAATTGGCAGGACCCCCCGAGCCAGATGCTAGATTTGTTTGCGTTTGTCGGGGCCCTGGATCGGGACGCTGTTATAGCGACGATCGACGCTCGATTCATACCCCTGCTGCTTCCTCCCATTTTCGGCGAGAGAGGAAGGAGGGTATCGATAACATAACGTGACCGTGGAGGTCAGAATATTATCCATGCCGCTGGCCTGGCCCCGTGGTGGGATTGGGACGCGAGCGGGGGCATGGACAACACGATCGCCTGTGTCAGGGAGACGGGCCCTCCCCCCCCATTGGGCATGGACAACATGTCGATCGCCTGTGTCAGGGGGAAGTGTCCTTGCCCCCCCCCCCCCCCCCCATTTGGCATGGACAAAATATCGATCGCCTTTGTTGGGGGGAAGGGTCCCTCCCCCCCCCCATTGGGCAAATACAACATGTCGATCGCCTGTGTTGGGGGGAAGGGCCCCTCCCCCCCAATTGGGCAAAGACAACATGTCGATGGCCTGTGTTGGGGGGAAGGGGCCCTCCCCCCCAATGGGCGAAGACAACATGTCGATGGCCTGTGTTGGGGGGAAGGGCCCCTCCCCCCCAATTGGGCAAAGACAACATGTCGATGGCCTGTGTTGGGGGGAAGGGCCCCTCCCCCCCCCCAGTTCGCATTCTCCCCCCCTTCCTCCTCGTGGCACCGCCCCTCACCCGCCTCCTCCTCCTCCTCCTCCTCGTCCCTCCTCCCTCCTCCCTCCCTCCTCCCTCCTCCCTCCTCCCTCCTCCCTCCTCCTCCTCCCTCCTCCTCCTCCACCTCCTCCTCCTCCTCCTCCATCGGCGAGGCGGCTTGGCTCTCCCTCGCCGACGCCTCCGCGCGGCCTGCGCCGCCCGGCCTCGTGGCGGGCCTCTCCTGCGCCGCTGGCCGTCGGCCTAATAGGCGCCCGCGCCTTCGTGCAGAGAGGGCCCGGGCTGCCGGCAGTCACAGGCGGCACACGACCCCGGCATCCTCGTGCCCTGAAACATTCGGGTATAGCCAGGACCCCCGGTAAGGGGACCCGGTTCGTGGTAGGGCTCTGGGGCCCCTCAATTGGCCAGATTCACTAAACCAGGCTTGCCGTAGCTGGTGTTTTCCGGGTGACGGCAGTTCCGGTTAGTGGAGATGGGACGGGGGGGCGCCCCCCGGTACAAATCACTAAACCAGATTCCACTAAACCCAGTTCTGTCAACGCCCGAAACATACACGACGAAGGGCACCCGGCATGTCTTCAAACCTGGGGGCCCACACGGGCGCCCGTGGCCGCCAACGAGCGGCTCACGACGAAAAGCCCGTCCCAGGGAAGTGTTCCAGACCTGGGCCAGCCAAGCTGCCAAAGAAGTTGCGACGACATTGGGTGTCTGGGGACCACCGCCGATTCTGTCTGCTCGCCCCCCTCCTCGTCCGCCCCCCCCATTCTCCTCTTTCGCGGGCCTTCGGTGTTCCCACAGGCCCGTAGGGAGCCCCAGTGGAGGCGCTGAGACCCGCATCGGCGCAGGCTGACGGTTGCAGCACACGCCAGGGGGGGGGTGAGGGGCGCCTCCTGCGCACGTGCACCGATCTTGGCCAGGACAGGCCTGGGCCCAGGATCGGTATGCGCGCCCTCCTGGCTTGGGAGTGGGGCGCGCGCCTGGTTGAGGGGGGAGGGGAGGTGGAGAGCGCGGGGGGGCGGGAGGATTGGGCGGGGATCCAGGGACGAATCGCTCCACAGTTTTCCAGAACGCTCTTGTTAGCGCTCTGGGATGGCCGCGGCTCCCGATACATCCTCGAGAACCGATGGATCTGAGAGATCCCCGATTCATCCCGGTCCGATTGGGTCCCTGTCCTAGCTTCTTCTCAGAGGAGGGAGGCTTGAGGAACATCTTCCTCCTCCCGTAGCGCATGTTGCTGCAGTCTCGAGCGGCGCCACGGTGGAGCTGAACTACTTATCCCGCCACCTGCTTCTCCTCCTCCGCCTCCTCCTCCTTCTCTGCCTCCTCCTCGTCCTCCTCCACTCTTCTTCCTTCTGGGGCTCTCTAGGGAGCCTCTAGTGGTCCGTCTTTGGCCCTCGGGTTCCCCCTCCGCGAAGTTCAGCCGCATCCTTTCCCTCCTCGTCCTGCCCTTCTACCTCATCAGCAGCCGGCGCGCGCAGGAACAATAATTGGCGGATAACTCGTGTGAGAGATAGCAGGGTCACTTGTCTAGAAGCCAATTGGCTCCAGTAGGCAACCGTGCCTGCGGCTGCCGCTCGAGGAGCGTCGCAGCGAGTCGCTTGAGGTTGCAGCCTGTTCCGCACTCCATCTCCGAGACCTCTCAAACACTTTTTTGGTCTGCGGGTCGAGAGCGAGCCTCTTCCGGTTAAAAGCTAGGCGGGCCACGCAAAGCTCGAGACGTCTCAAACACGCGACTCCAAGGCGGCGCCGCCCATGGTGTGCGCGCACCCTCAGGCAACTGGCCCCCAGGCACCGCTCCCGAGGCGCGCTCTGACCAGCATCTCGAGGAGAACCCAGCCGTGGCGACGAGGGCGCAGGCACCCTGCCCTCCTCCTGAGGCCCAGGCGGGCGTCCTCCACAGCGTGCCAGGCACGCGCTCGCCAGCGCCACGCAGCGCGCCCGCCAGCGCCGTGCACGGCTCTGCGCCTTGCTGCTGGAGCCCGCCGTTCGCCGCCGTCCCGCCCTGCCGCCGCCCGCTGCCCTGCCGTGCTTCTGAAGCTGAGCTGGGCGTCGGGGGCTCGGGCGGCACAGGTCGAAAATGGATGATCCGCAGCACGCGTGTCAGCACAGTGTGTCTCTGTGTGTGTGCGTGTGCCTGTGCGTCTGCGTCTGCGTGTGCGTCTGCGTGTGTGTGTGTGTGTGTGTGTGTGTGTGCGTGTGCGTGTGCGTCTGCGTGTGTGTGTGTGTGTGTGTGTGTGTGTGTGTGTGTGTGTGTGTGTGTGTGTGTGTGTGTGTGCGTGTGCGTCTGCGTGTGTGTGTGTGTGTGTGTATGTCTGTGTGCGTGTGTGTATGCATGTGTAGTTGCCCTCGCTGCGTGAGCCGGGCCGGTGTGCGCGCGTGGCCGCGACGCCAACAGGTGCGTGTATGTGTGTAGTCGGCGTGGCCGCGGCGCCGGCGCCGACTCCCCCGGCTCTAGCCGGACTCCGCTGCGCAGCTGCGCGCGAGGCCGCGACGTTTTTTTCCTTACATGTGTATTGTTATATATCTGTATATGTACGTATACAGATACATCTATATCGCTCCTCTCTCGCTCCTATCCTCCCTCGCTCCTCCCCAGTCGCGCGGTGTCATGATTTGTTTGTTGAAGACGTTGTCCCCCGAAGTCCCGACCGTCATCCCCAGGGCTTGAGGGTTTGCTCTTCCACCCGGGAAGTTGTTTGACGGTCCAGGGGCCCGGCCCAGCGAGGTCCCCCATTGGCCGCAAGCGCCCCCCCCCCCCTGGGTCCTGTTCCGTCCCTCCCTCCTTCATCTCCCCCTCAGTCTCGACAAGCCGTATGCTTCAGCGAGGAGCCAATCCAGAAATCCATCTCCCCTTTCCCGCCCGCGAAGGTCATACAGTGTGCTGGCACCTCGCTGGACCAGAACCGCTCCTGGGACCACGCGTACAACGGCAGGCAGCGGAGGGCCGGTGGGGGGGGGAAGCGAGTTCCCTTTCGGAGAGGGAGCAGGAGGAGGTCTTCCTCCTGCTCCTCCCCCGAAGCTCGAGCGCCAGGAATGGCCGCTTCGGTTCGGCTTTCGTCTGTAATCTATTTGAGCGACCCGTTCGTGCCGCCCCGGGTCGGCCCAATGGGTTCGGGCGGTGCGGCTCGGTTCGGGAGCGTAGCTGCCCTGATACGCCCGTTTTGATACACAACCCGTGCTGTGTTCTAAACGTCAGTGTCAATATGTTGCGTGCTGGCTCAACGTATTGTCCCACGTTTTGGCGGAAGCATCGCGTCACACGTGCGTTTCCAGTCTACGTGTTGAGCTCCGTATCAATACGCTACGTGTTGCGTGTTGCGTATCGGGACAGCTAAGTTCAGGAGGAGGAGGAAGGGCGAGGAGTGCGCGGAGGAGGAGGAGGAGGAGGAGGAGGAGGAAGAGGAGAGGGAGGAGAGGAAGGCGGGCGATTTCGTGGCTCTCTACCCAGGAATGGTGCCCAGCGGACGGCCCAGAGAATATTTCTGCTGCCCCACCTCGGGAGTTGGGAGAGGGCAGGAAGAAGGGAGGACGGGCAGGACAAGGAGGAGAAGGTTGGGGAACAAATGCTGCCCTCCCTTTGGAAGTGGTCACATTAAGAACAGGAGGAGAAAGAGATTCACGAGGTTCCCATGTGCTCTGTCCGATCTCTTGTCGCCTTGGCCCTCCCTGGTCCTCCCCTCCTCTCCCCTCCCATCCGGTCTTCCTCATTTCCACCTTCCCCTCCCTTTCCCATTCTTTCTCACACATTATCCGTCAATTCTCCTCCTGCCTTCCTCATCCTGCTCCTCTCCTGCCGCTCTTCCTCCTTCTCCTCCTCCTCCTCCTCTTCTTCGTTGCTTCCCGACCTTCCCTTTACCCTCTCGTCCTTCCTCCTGCTCGCGTCGCTAGTGCTCCTGCTGCCGTTCCTGTTTCTCCTCTTTCTTTTCCCTTCCCTCCTTCCTTCTCCTCCCCCTTGTTGCTTTTTGCACCTCCCCTTCCTCCATCCGCCGTCGTCCCCCCATCCAGTATCGTAACTCACATCTGCTTTGGCGCCTCCTTTTCCCCACTCGTCATCCTCCCCGCACCCTCTTCCGCTTCTTCCTGATCGTCGCTTTTCGACACAGGTGTGATTCATCTGTCGAGCACGGTGGATTTGCGTCGGGGAGCTCGGAAAGGGCCACAAAGGTAGTACCACCGTATGTATCAGTGACGCCTGGGTGTCAGGGTGCCGCCCCTACCTCTCTCTCTCCTCCTCCTCTTCCTCCTCCTCCTCCTCCTTTTCCTCTTTCTTCGCTTCCTTCTCCTCCTCCTCCTCCTCCTTCTCCTCCTTCTCCTCCTTCTCCTCCTCCTCCTCCTGTTTCTTCGCTTCCTTCTACTGATCCCTCAGTCTCTTCCTCTTCTTCATTCATCACAATCGGGGGCGCTATCTTGCAGATGTGCCAAGATCACAACAAGGTGGGGCGACCTAGCACTCACCGGCAGCGGCTCTCAGGGATGATGGAGTTGGAGCCCAGGAGCCCAGGAGCCCCACTCCTACCATCAGGGGCATCGCTGCAGCACTGCAGCCCTCCGTCCTCCTCCCCGGCCTTGCGCCCGCGGCCAACCCACTCCGCCTTCCCGCCGCCAGGATCTTCCGGGCCAAGTTCTCCTCGCTGAGGCAGCAGGACCTCATGTACGCGCGGGCCCCTGATGCTTCAGATTGCGCGGGAGGGCAAGGATCTAGACTTCTGGCAGCTCCAACAGAAATTCTGCACCTTCTGTCTCGCAACTCCGGCGTGCGAATGCAATGTTTTTAGGGGCACAGGGCCCGCCCTGGGAACGGTGTCTAGAGCTTCGGGTACTGGCGACCCTAGAATGTCGTCGCAGGTCTGGGCAGGATTGGCGGGGGATGAGGAGGAGGGGATTTGGATCTCACCTGCAGTGGCTCAAAGTCTTCGGCAAGGATCTGGAGTTTTACGGCTGGCTTCGGAGGTCTTCGGGGTCCTTGGGCAATTCCGGCAGTTTCCGGCGGGCGCGACGCAACACAAAAGGCAGGCCTTTCTCTCCTCCTCCTTCTCCTCGTGTTCCCCCTCGTGCTCCGTCTTTCTCTCCTCCTTTCTTTCCTCATTTCTCTCCTTCTTTCTCTCCTCCTCCTCCTCCTCCTCCTCCTCCTCGTGCTCCCCCTATCTCTCTTTCTCCCCCTATCTCCTCCTTGCACGCGTTCTGCTACTGCGCGCCTCTCCTCCCCCTCGTTCCTCTTCCCCTCCTCCTCCTCCCCCTGGGCCTCCCCATATGGGGTCCCCGCCCCAGGTTGGCAATCCGAGGGGGCCATTATCAAACTTGGAATGGTCGTCATCTTTGTGCTCCCATTTTGGCTCAAGGTTATTCGGGGCCCGAGGTGGTGATCGTGGCGTCCAGCCGCCGCCTGCCAGCCACCGCCCGCCAGCCGCCGACAGCATTCGCGACCGCCTGAGCCCGCCGAGCCCCCGACCCGCGTCCGACCCCGTCGACCCCGCCGAGCCCTGCACGGAGGCCGCCCAGCCTTGCCACAGGGAAATGGTCCAGCCAAGAAAACTGACGCTCGTTGAGATGCCAGCTCGGCCTCCTCCCCATCTGCTTTACAACATGCTTATGCAGCTGCACGCGGCCCACCATGCGGAGGCCAGGTATCTCGAGGGGGTGATCTCGAAACTGACGAGTCCGCCAAGCGCGGCGAGACCGCCGGAGAGCGTCGCCCCCAACGGCCATGTAACCGGACTGGATCGGCACAAAGGTGGCGATCCACCAGGTGTCCACCCTTCCGAGATGGTGCGCGGTGTCCATGTCATTGTAAATTCCCATACGAGCATTTTGAAATCCGACTCCGCCCCAGAAAGCGGACATGTCGAGTCGTTGAGCCAGCTTGTTTCCGACCCGGACCCGGGCGTTTTGGACGAGTTTGTTGTCCAGCCACAGGCGTCCAGGGGGGTTAAAGAAGACCCGCTCCAACAACAGCTCTGCGGTGTCGCTATATCTGTCACCTGTCGACACCCACAAGGGGTGCGAGGATTGCGCGGCCCTACGATCCTCATCACCTGCCCGCCAAACGCTGGGCACGTCGCACGTCGGAGTACATGAACGATGAGGTTGGCGATCTTGAATTTTGGCTGCCGCGGGAACATGTGGCAGTGGCGGCGCACCAATGGCGTTGTTTCCAGCTTCCTCGCAGGCGCGAGCGAGCGCATCGATGGAGCATATAACCGCGATGTTTTCAAGGTGCGCGTCAAGAGCGGCTCGGACGGCACCACGCCGATGGAGATCTTGTTCGTCGACATGATACAGCTGCACCCGCTTTCGCGCAATCTCCGGGCCTTGCGCTGGCTTTGTGTCAAGAGTCGGTACATTGAGTGGGGTCATCATGTCCAAGTTCTCGCGAGGACCATTTTGTTGGGCCGGCCGCGTTGGGGGTCCTTCGCTGCTAAGTACAAGAAGCCCCAGCAAAGTTTACTCGGCGAAGTGGCGGACCTTGAAGGCATCGAAAGCGGCACGTAAAGCATCGTGTAATGCACTATGAACTGAAACAGACCCGACGACGCATGCACCAGGATCACTGATGGCGCGCTTGATCCCCCGATCCCGACGCGACTCACGTCTCTGAGCGTCATCTGGCCTGGGATCCGCGTGGAGCTCTGCAACTTCAATCAGATGATGCGGGAACGAGTCCCAGTGTGCATAGTACCCGAGCACGTCTTTACGCTTTTCTCTTGCGCTCGGATCGTGATCCAGTTCGGAAGTTCGACGTGCAAGCCGCAATTCGGTTGTATTCCCTGGCCCCACCTCGACGCAGCGTGCGCGGCTACGACGGTGCAGGAAGCTTTGGCCGATCACGCAAACATTGCGCGCATGCGCTGTTGCTTTTCAAACAGATCTTGCGGTTGACGAGCATGGCATGGTTAATCAAGTTGTTCGACGCAGCTCATGACGTTGTGGGCGATTTGAAGAGAGTGGTTCCTGCACTTCGGTCGGCAGCTGTCATTTGGATATCCTCGTTGTCCACCCGCACACCTTTAGCGTCCTGCTCACCGTCATCGGTTACCACGCTCACTTTCTGAGGGACGAGTATTTCCTATCGATGGGCCAGACAGTCACGTCGCTGATCATCTACGGCATCGCCATGGATGGCGTTGGCGATTTGTTCATCGCGTTGAACATGCACGACGAGTTCTTCCAAGGACTGTTGTTCGTTTCCGCAGGAGGTCTCCACAATCTCATTTGGCGAGCCCTTCTTTGTGATCGTGCGCCTCCGCAAGGGAAAGCCCGCAAACATGTTGGGCATCCTGGTGCGTCAGGAGTTCACGAAGCTGCAGGGGGACAGGATCGAAGATCTGATCCGACAGGGGATGCGCCTGCGCGCGCCGCCGACGAAAAACGCTTCCTTCACTTTGGCACTGCGCGCCAACCTGGCCTCAGTCCGGCGGTGGCTCCAGAACCAGATGCCGTCGATCTCTGTTGGGGCTGAAATCCGCGACCTCGTGGTCGTCGCGGTCGCTGGCAAGAGGCCCAAGCGCCCCGTGGCCGGATCGCGGGTGCAGTTGGCCTGCGGCCGCTTTGCACGCACCCGCCGCCTGCCTGCGCCTTTTCCGCTGGCGGCGTCTGATGGGGGCGCCCGCTGGCACGGCCGCGGGCGCCCGCGGCTCTTCTTGCGGCCGCCCGGCCGCGAGCGAGCTGGAGCGGCTGCGCCGCGCTGCCAATGCTGCCGCCGGCCACGGGCCCCGGGCTGCCGCCGAGATCGTTGTCGGCGTGCTCAGCCCCACGTGGCGCCTCGACCCCAAGTCTGCGGCGGTCGTCGCGCCGGCGCCACAGGCGGCGCGGGCGCTTCGGGCCGGCCAAGTCGACCTCGCCGCGTGGCGCAGCACGGCGACAATCCGCGCCGGGGCTGGCCGCGCCGTCGGGCTGGCGGCCGCAGCCTCGCGCAGCTTGCGCGAGCTGCGCCTGGGCGATGACGTGGAGAGCTGGGCGGGCGCGCCGTCTGCGCCGCACGGCTGGCGCCCTGCAGAGCGGTCGCGGCGATCCACGGAGCGCGCGGCGATGGCGGCGCGGCACCGGGCGGGGTGCTGCAAGATCGCGCGCGCCGACCGTGCCCCGCCCACTTCGCTGGCGGCGTGGACGCACAGGCGGGCGACGCGCCGCCTGCTTGCCAACGACGCCCTGGCGCCCGAGGCCGCCAGCGCCCTGCGCAGCGCCGTGGGCGGCAGCGCCGTCGCCGAGGCCATCGCGGCAAAGTGGAATGGCAGCTCCAGCGCTTAATTGCCCTCGCTGTTGGCTTGCCCCGAAGGACATCGAACATCGCCTCTGGCTGCGCCCGGCGCGGGAGGGCGCCCGCCGCGCCGCGCCGGCCGCGGCGCCGCGGATCGAGGCGCTGCCCAGTGGCCAGTGATGCCAGGGGATCTGCGGCAGCTGCTGCCAGCTGGGGTCGCCTCCACTGGAGCCCTCGCGACGCCGCCGCATCTCGCCGCCCTTGCAGAGGCAGCGGGGAGCGCGAACCCGCAGCTCCCGCCCCACGCCGCGCTGCTCCCAGACGCACCCCGCCAGGCGGTGTGGGGCGACGGGGCCTGCCTCCACCCTGCCGACCCGCTGCTCGCGCGCGCGGCGTGGGGCCTGCGGTGCGAGGGGCCTCGATCGAGGGCCCGAATCTCGCCGGGCCGGTCGACGGTCTGCTGACTGTTCGGCGGGCCGAGGTGACGGCCGCCGCGGCGGCGGCCCGACTCGTCGGGGGCCCCGTCGACCTCGCCTCGGACAGCCAATGCGTCGCGCGGTCTTGCGCCCAGATCGTAGCTGGCTCCGACGCGCGTGGCTGGAGGCACGCCGACTTGTGGCTGCAGCTGGCTGGCGCCGCGGGCCCGCCCTGCCCAGCCGCGCCCGCGCGGCGCCGCCATGCAGCGGCCTGGCCGCGCGGGAGTCGCAGCGCCGAGCCCGTCAGCGCCAGCGCCGCGCTGGCGGCCTTTTTTCGCAGAGCGTTCCTGGCGGCCGCGCCCCCTCGCACAAGGGCCCGGGCGCGTCTGTTGCCGACGCTGCGGCGGCTGCGCCGTGACCGCGGCGGCCATGCCGCATGGGGGGCGCGCGCCCAGGGTAGCAGGGCCAGCTGCCAGCGCGAGGGCAGGCGCTGCATGTCCTCGGCAACTCGCGCCGCGCTGGGGGCACCGCGCAACGCAGCATAATTCGCTGCTGTAGCTTCGCACCGCATCGCGCAGCTGCCAAAGGTGCCCGACTGAGCCAGGCGCCTCCCCATGGCGCCTGCGTCCGCGCATGTCGCCTGATCGCGCCTGTCGAAAAGCGCCGCAACATTGCGAGCCAGGAGCGGGAGACAGGCTGGGGGAAGCGCGCCATCGTTTCACACGCAAAGACTGACCCCGTCAGTTCGGGCGGGGGAGACGCCATGTGCGCCGAGGAGGAGGGCAGCCGGATATGCGACCCATCGAAAGCGGATAGCACCGTCGCAGAGCTTGCCGTGGACGGGGCCAACGTGATGCGCCAGTACTGGCTCAAGGTCAAGCATCAGGGCAGCAATTTGAGCACAAAGAATGGTGGGTAATGCAAGTTTCGCGCAATGCGACGGTGAGCCTGCTGCTGCGTGCTCAGACGCCCTCGACGTTACCATGCGCATGGTTTGTTTGTTGTTAGTGGTTTGTCTTGGCATGATTCCCTAAGCGTGCCAGTATATGGGGAGTGCTGTTACCGAACTCTTCCGTTCCCCTCTTGCCCTCCTTGTTCTCTTGGCTATCTGAGCCCTCCTGCCCCTGCCCGCCCTCCAGCGCTCCCCTTTACCCAGGGCGCCAGGCGGTTGGAGGAGCTGGGGTGGGCTCTGGCAGACACGACGCTGGCTTGCGAGGGCCAGCTGCCCCCTCTCCCAGAGGCCCAGCCCCGTCAGTTTTGGGTTGTATCGAATTTGGCGATTGTGTAAATTGCTGAACAGATTGTATCAGTGGGACCTCTGCCGGGGGGGCAATGTTGGGCCGCGGCTCGTGCTCGTAATGCGAAGGGGTGGGCGGGAGCCGCGTGTGTGAGCGAACCGCGGTCAGCTCGAGACCTGCGGGGTTCTCAAACCTCCTGGCTCCCGCGCCCTTGCGGGGCGCGGGGTTGTCCCAGTGCCTTGGCCCTCGGAGTTGGCCCAACGGCTTCGCGATCCAGCCATCGGAGAACGCGTTTTTTTTGGTTGTGGCGGCGCGTGTGCGAGGAATTTCGGCGTGCTTGCCCCGGCCAAAAGATCGGCGAGGTGCAGGAGGACAGGCGGGGTGAGGCGGGGTGAAAATGAGGAGAGGGAGAAGGAGGAAGTCTTGGAGGAGGAGGAGGAGGACGAGGAGGAGGAGGAGGAGGAGGAGGAGGACGAGGAGGAGGAGGAGGAGGAAGACGAGGAGCTGGAGGACGAGGAGGAGGAGGTGAAGGAGGAGGAGGAGGAGGAGGACGAGGAGGAGGAACATACATGGAACGAACAGGACGAGAAGGAGGAGGGGACGGAGGACGAGGAATAAGAGGTGGCGCAGCAGATGGCGGGAGGAGGGCCTCCGTCAGGGCGAGGAGGAAAAATCGAGGGGCAAACCACATAGATGGCCATGCGGGGTCCCATCAATGGAGTAAGGTTATGCCACCCCTTATCCTTGCTAGCACATGGCATGCTACTCTTTTTCCTCCTCTTCCATTTCCCCCCCTCCTCCTACGCATCCTTCTCAACTTCCCCCCCCTTGGCCCTCCAACGTCCACTTCAAGTACCCCTTCTCATTGCACTCAGCTACCACTCAGCCTTGCTTGTGTTCCGCTTCGTCCTCATCGTCGTCATAATCCTACTTGTAGTGCTCCTCCAACCCAGTGTCCTCCTCCCACACTGCATAATACGATGTGCCCTCATTATCCTCGTTGCCCCCCCGCCTGTCCCGACCTCATCCCTGCCCTTTTTACCCAAGGTGGTTTGCCAATCCTTCTCCCCCCTCCCCCCTCCTCCACCTCCTCCTCATCCGTCTCTTTCTCACATACCTTTTTCTTCTTTCTTTTCTCATACTTCACCGCTTAATTTTCCTTTCCCTCTTTCCCTCCCAGGATCTACCACAACCTCCTTCAACCTTGTGACAGCCCCCCCACACCCGCCTCCCTGCTCACCCCTCCTGGTTCTCCTCAGATTCCTCTCCCCTCTCTTCTCCTCGCGCCCCCCCTGCTTCCCCGATAGCTAAGGCAGCTTCCCGTCACATGTCCGAAGTCACTCGGGACCATCACAAAGACCCCGAACTCTTCCAATGAACCCCATCGACATCCTTACAAGACTCCTTCCCCACTCCTCCTCGCCCTTCGCTGTAGACTCCAGCCCCTCCCCTGGACCATCCCCATGCCTCCCAGGAGGCACACACAACCAACACTAAATGTGTGAAGTCCTCCCTCGTTCCACATCTCCGAAACCGTGTCGTGCTCTTTGCCGTTTGGCTCCCCCGAGGTCTGGTTTTTTCTGATGGTCCTGGGGCCAGGTGAAAGGGTTCCCAGAGGCCGAAAGGCAAAACTATTGAAACCCCTTTTTTTCCGAGATGCGAGGGGGTCAGGGTATCTCCTCCCCCTGGCACCACTGGGAAACCGAGGCGCTGCACCACCTCATCCGGCCCAACGAGGCGATGTCCCTCAGCGTGGATGCGCGGCAGGAGATAGACCTGCGCCTCGGCGTGGCGTTCTCAAGGCTCGGCGACTGTGGGGCTCCGCGTGGGTCGTCGTCGTCGTCGTCGTCGTCGTCATCGTCGTCGTCGTCGTCGTCGTCGTACTCGTCAACGCTGCCTCCTCGGGGGAGGAAGAGGGAGCGTTTTCGCTTCTGGACCCCCTGGGGGGGGGGCCTCGTCACAGCGGTTGGATTTGCTACAGGACTTTGTCCCCGAAGGCTCCCTGGGGGAGGTCCGGGCAGTAGCGGTATCGGTGTCTTTGGGGTTCCCCACCTCTGTCGTCCCAGCCCCGAGAGATCGAGTGTTTCCATGTTGGCGTGTTTCCAAATTGGCGTGTTTCCATCCTGACGTCCCCCCCTGCCCTCCTCCCCCTCCGCGGGCGCCCTCGTCTGGCCCTCCCTCCTTCTGCATGCGGGACAATTCGCAACGCCGTGGCCCGTGTTGCTCGCCGCGCGAGCGGATTGCCTCTGCCGCGGCGCCGCAACGGAAAGAGTTTTGCCTCGCGCCTGGAGGACCGTGCTGGGGCGCAGGGGCCATTTGATCCGTGGCGAGAAGCTGCTTCCGGGGAGGTGGATCGGAGACGTTTGGAGCGAGGACGGCAGGATGTCAGCAGCGACTCTCGGTTGAGACGATCACGACGCTCTGTGCTGAAGAGGGCGCGTCGGCCGTACTGGGGACCCCGGGCCCGAACGCGGCCACGAAGAGCCCCAGCGGACACTCCGCTCGACCCGCCGCCGTCTGATTTTCATGTTGCATGCATCTCCGTCCTCATGATGATAATGATGGTGATGCTGATGGTGACGGTGATGGTGATGGTGATGATGGTGGTGATGATGGTGGTGATGATGATGCTGATGCTGATGCTGATGCTGATGCTGATGCTGATGATGTGGTCTCGATGATGGTTCTGCTCCCTCGAGCCGATGTTCTCGAGCCGATGCTGTCCTCTCCATCTCCCTCTGCACGCCGCCTCCCGCCCTCTGCATCCTCGTGCTCTCTCAGCCCCTGGCCCCCGCCGCTCCCTCGCAGGGCCCATGCCCCGCCCGTCGTGAGGAGCCTGCTCCACCGCCCTCGTCCTGTCCCATTCTCGGCCTGCCCCCCCTCGTCCTGTCCTTACCGTCCTGTCCTCCCTCGTCCTTGTCGTCCTTATCGCCTCTCGTCCTGTCCTCCTCGTCCTGTCCTTGTCGTCCTGTCCTCATCGTCCCTATCGTTCTCGTCCTGCTCCACCGTCCTCGTTCTGACCTTCTCGTCCTGCCCTGAAGTCTGTTCCACGCTCTGCATCTCCTTCTCGTCCTGTCCTCCTCCGATTCAGCCTCCCCCCTTCTTCTTCGACTCCTCCGGCAACAACGGCGAGCACGAATACGAAGATGACGACCACCACGACGACGACGGCGACGACGACGACGACGACGACGCTGCCGGCGGCGGCGGCGGCGACAGCGACGGCTCCCTGAGCCATCAATGGACGCACCGTGTGCCCTCCACGCAGGAGCCAGGAGTGAGGAGCGGGAGAAGGAGCAGTGAGGAGGAGGAGCAGTGATGATGATGATGATGATGATGATGATGATGAGGAGGAGGAGGAGGAGGAGGAGGAGGAGGAGGAAAAGGAGGAGGAGGAGGACGACGAGTAGCAGGGAGGAGGAACAGCAGGTGAAGGAGCTTCCCGAGCCCCCCTCCCCACTGCGGGAGGTACCAGACCCAGTACTTCCGCGAAAACTTCGGGATGCTCAGCAACTTCCTCAAGGTGCGGCGCCCCTCGCCCTCGACCCCCCGTCGGCTGCCACGTTGCCCCTGTCTTCGAGCCGCGGGCCCTTCTCGGGTCGTGGACGAAATCACGGCGGAGGGTTGTTGCTCCGTCGGGCGTGTCCCTCTCCAGGATGAAGATTCAAAAGTATTCAAAAAATAGTCTGGGGACTATTTTTGGACAATTTCTGTTTATTTTTGAACATGTGTTGACTCTGGTTTAGTTTCTTCCAAAATCCGTCTGTAGGAACGTGCCCGACTGAAGGATTTTGGCCGTTGTGTGCCTCTGCCGGGCCCCTCACCGGGCCCCGGGACCGTCAACCACCGGGGAAGTGCTCGAGAGCTCTCCGGCGGCGCGTTGAAGACAGCATCACGTCGTCGGATGTCGTGGCCTGGCGCGGAAGGTGGGGCGAGCGGGAGGCGCAGGAAGGTTGCCGTGAAGGGGCTCCGGAGGCCCCCCCAGACGGCCTCCAAGCGCCCAGGAGGTGCCCGCTGAAGTGGTGCGCCGGCGTTCGCTCGGCCCCCCGCCCCCCCGTTGGCTTCCCCGCTGCCCTGCGCCCATGCTGCGGGGGAGGCGGCCACGGGACCGCGTCAACAAAGAAAGGGCTTGCTGGTGAGAAGCTGGCCCCAGGAAGAGGGGGCCAAGACCCGCGTCGCGATGTGGTTCAACGGCGTTGCTCCACGGATGTCAGAGGCCCTCCCCTGCTCTCCAGCCTGGAGTTGGTCCTTTCTTTGTTGTCCTTCTGAAGGATGTGGCCCTCGAAGAAGAGCAAACGGCATAAGCATAAACTGTTGGCGCTCCGCGCTGATTTCTTGGATCCGCGCTGGGCCCCCCTGGCGGCGCCTCCGGTGCCGCCCCTGGCGCGCTCCGCACGTGAGGGAGGGGGGTCTTGCGCAGATCCAAATTTCTGCGCGGAGCGCGGAAAGTTTATGTTTATGCAGACTTCTCTTCTTTTAAGGATGTGGCCCGTTGTCGAACAACAGCAGGTTTCCTGCCGCGCGCCGATGGTCGCTTTGTCAGTGTATGGTACCGTTTACAAGCTTACAGCGAGTTTGCTGAGAGTCCTCCCATGTCCCTCCCCCTTCCTCCTTCTCTGGAGACGTCCTCCTCCGCCTCCTCGACGTCATCCTCCGCCTCCTCTCTTTGGCGACACCAGCTCTCTCTTGGGCTCATCTGGTCGCTCCGTTCTGGGATCTCCGACCATCTGTTGTAAGCAGCTTGTTTGCGTATGGTCTTGAACAGCAAAAAAATGAATTCTCCGAACGCCCGGCGAGCGATGCTGGGCCCCCTAGATCGGTGGCCCATCGCATCGTGACCCTCCCATCGTTGTTGTGGAATCGCAAGGGTGTCGGTTGTTTCATAAGCATGTTGTGGTGCTGGGTCGTCTTTTGGAATCCGCAGCGCCCGCGTCTCCCATCCGTTTTTCTTCCTTCTTCATTCTCTTCCTCACTCATCCCATCCCTGCCTCTGCTCTCCGCGTGTCCATCCATTTCGGCACACACACACACACACGTACACACCCCACGCAGTTCGTGGCCCGATAGGGAGCTCCACCGAAGGCACCAGTGGCCCACCGAAGGCAACAGTGGCAAAGTTCGCCCGCCGCCACCTCGCAATGTCAGCATACCGCGCACACGATTAATTTCCATCCTTCGTTCCGCTTTCGTTGCGGTACTCGCAGCTGCAAGTGAATGGGCCCTTCGCTAGGATCATTCCCAATCCAGGAGTTGGTCCTTGATCTCGGCATCTGGGGCCTTGTTGCGGGCCCTAGGGCCATCGAACAAGGATCCGTGGCGAAACAATTGCCCCGAGCAAGGGGTTTCGACTTTTAGGGCCCGCCCATTGAAGAAATCATATCGTCGAGTTCTTGTGCACGTATGAGTGACGCCTCGCCGGGATGATTTGTGGTGCGCGGCAATGGGGGGGCGCCAGGGGTGCTAAACCTACGCGCTCAGGCCGATACCGTCACACCGTCTGCTAGTGCCGGCAAGCTGTGTGCCAATGCTCACTCTTGCCTGGGGGTACGTTTGCTTGTCAAGACCTTTAGAGACTGCCTTTCTTCGCCTGGCACGTAAGGGTTGTTACACGCCCATCTCACCCACGGGTAACGGTAACGATTGTATGCTGGTGCTCGCGCGCATACTGTGGTGATCGCAGTGCACCCCCGTCCCATCGTGCCCCAACCCGCCCCTGCGTTACCGTTACCATTACTGGCCGTAGCATAAGAAAACAACATTCTAAGTTCACACAGATGGAAAGGGGAATCACCCCAAGCCCCTCCGAAGTGTCTTGCTTGCCTATCCTCCTTCCTATCCTCGCCCGCACGCAGGTCGGGCTTGAGAGTATTCAACCTCCGCACGACCTGGGAAGAGGAGGGGGGAGGACGAATACGGCATACGGAGCTAGCGGGCCTTGGTCGTGCTCTTTTTTTCTCACCGTGCTTGTTGCTTTAAATTGTTGCGCCCATCTAGGTCTAATGTGTAAACCACCGCGCCTAAGTCGGTTGAAGTGTTCCTCGCATTTTATACGAGCGTTGCGAACCTCGATGTCTAGCGTCAGGTCGAAGTCAAAGAGGCAGGCGGAGCATTACCTGTGGGGCGGCAGGGCCAAGGGTGCGAAGGAGGGTCGTGCAAGCGTATTTGTCGCAGGTCCTGCAGGTCTAGTCGGAAGGTAGCACCCTTCCCTACGGTTGCCTGGCAGGAGTGGTTGTGGGGAACGGGTCGAGACCTACTGCATCGAGGGACACCCCGTCACATGTTAGCCAGCGCGGGCCCCAAACAGTTTTTTTTGGTGATCGATGTGGAGCAACATATGTGGTGCGATATATTTGGTGCCAAGGTGGTGCAACCTATGTGGTGCGATCTATATGTTGCACAATGCACGTGGTGCAGTCTATGTAGGTCACATCACAGACAAATAATATCTAGGAGGTCTATGCTGGTTTCTCGGATCGGCGCTGGGCCCGCCTCCCTGGCGCTCGGAGCTCGAGGATGTGTGCTTGTGGGGAACGGGCCCGGACCTCTGCAGGGGCCCGTGGGTTGGAGGAGTTCATCCAGCGGATGCCTGGGGCCTCCGAGGAAGTCTGCACGCGAGTGGCGGCGTCACGGGGGCGGCAGAATGCAGCACGCGACCCGCAGCTGCCTTCACGTCAGGCTCCCGCACCGAGCGCACGGAGCCGCGAAGAAATCTCGGGGACACATGGCTGCTCGTCGCCCCATTTTGTTCCCTGAGATCCTGACGTCGCAATTTGTTCGATCCAGGCGTTCTCGCCCGGTGTCGCGCGTTCGCGATAGTCACGGATCGATCCTGCTTGCAAGATGACGCAGAAGGATTGGGTCCCGATGTTGGTCGTGTTTTTCTACGATTTGGTAGTTCGAGACGTCTGACCTCTGGGTTTGGCTCGCTGCACCATCTAAGACATCCGATGTCATGATTGTTTCGAAGCGCGGCCCCAGAGGTCCTGACCCTTTCCGCAGGGCCACGTTTTGTGCCCTGAGGTCTCGACCCCTTCCACGGGGCCCAGAATCAAGCCCCAGACGCTTATGTCCATGAGCACTGTCAGGGTTGAAAACGTCTGGTCGTCGGAGATATGGGTGCTTCCTCCCTTCTCTCAAGCCCGCTGGCGACAGCTCGCGCCGTCGTGATTGCGAAGGCCTTACGCCCGGCGCCGCCGACCCTGAAGGGAGACGACGACGACGACGACGACGACGACGACGACGACGACGACGACAACGACAACGGCGGCGGCGGCAACGACGACAACGCTGACGTGCACCAGAGTCCTCAGGGATGGTTCTTGGGGTCTCTTCGGAAGTCTCTCGGAGGCCTCTGGGGAGGAATTGTGGGGCCTCTTGGGAGCTTCTTCGGGGTCTCTTGGGAGCCTCCTAGAGGCCTCTTCGGGCTTCCTGGGGGCCTCTTGTGGGCCTCTTTGGGCCTCTTGGGAACCTCTTGGAGCCTCCTGGGAGCCTCTTGGGGCCGAGGGCTCGAAATGTCCGTTCGGGTTCCCCGTCTGGGCAAGCTCTTGGAGCCGTCTTGGGGGCCTCTTCGGCCGTCTTGGAGGCGTTTGGGGCTGTCTTGTGGTCCTCTTGGGCTGTTTTGGGGCCCTCTTGGAGGCCTCTTGGGCCGTCTTGGTGCGATCTTGAGGCGATCTTGGGGGCCTCTTGCGTCGTTTTTGCGTGGCGAGAAATGGGAAAGGCGAAAACCCCCGGATTTTTCTTTGATTCGTTTATATTATAAACATGGAACATCAAGGAATCTGACCTCTGGGTGCCCTCCCGGGAGTGCTCTTGGAGGCGTCTCGGCGGCCTCTTGGGGCACTCCTGGCCTGTCTTGGTACTTTCTGAGGCCCGGGGCCCCCATGGGGGAATGCGTGTCTGACCCCCCCCCCCCTGGGATCCCCCCCCCCGACGGGGGAGGGATCAACTGGAAGGGACTTCTCTTCGACTCGATTACGACATTGCTAGATGTTTCTCTCGCTTACAAGCTTGAGGAGGAGGGCGCAGGGAAAGGGGACGGAGACGACGACTAACGGAGACGACGACTCGAACAGACAAGCCCCTCACACACGCTGACAGGGTCGGCGGATTCGTTCGTAACGTTGCTCCCCAGCGGTCTGGACCCCTGGGACTGGTCTTTCATCCCAAGGCCTTTGTAGACGGTCCGGGGGCCCCGTGGGGATCCGAAGCCGGCAACACATATAGTGTTCTCTCCCAGCGCGAGGAGATCGAGGTCCCCAGACTTTGGCGACAGCTCGCGCCGTAGATTTTAGTGCAATCCAGAGCCCGGTCGAGCGCCACGCGTTCTGCGTCATCGTCGTCGTCGCGCTCTGCCGCTAGGGCCACTGCGAAGCTGCGAAAGCTCGAGGACGCATAGCCTTGGCATCGCTCGGACGTGTGCGTTTTTCCTCGGCGAGGACCATCGAGGAGCATCCTTGATCATTTGGCGAAAAAACCACGCACGAAACCGAAAAAAACAGGGAATGGACGTCCGAGCGGTGGCCAGTAGCCCATCGTCGACCCTCTCCGCCTTGATCCACCCCCAGTCGATCGGGGTTGCGGCGTCGTCCTCCCGAGCCCGATCCGGCGCCGCGCGCTCTGCGTTTTTCTCGTCTTACGACGTTCCAGACCTTTTCTAGCCTTGACCGCCAGGAAGAATTTCGAGCACCAAGAAAGTACCGAAAGTGGAGAGCTTTCACGTGTCGGGCCATGGGAGGCGATACTCGTTCGATACTGTTTCGATCCTGTTCTGGGTGCTCGAAGTTATTTTTGGGACGTGGTCCTTACGTGCGATGGGAACAGCATAATTCTCGTCGTCCACCCTGCCGCGAGGCTGTCACCTACGGCCCGTGCCAGATGCCTACGCTGTGGTTCCGCGGGGCTGCTGTTATCTTCGTCGTCGTGGCGTTCGTCGTCGTCGTCGCCGCCGCCGCCGTCGTCGTCGTCGCCGTCGTCGTCGTCGTCTGAACCAGCCCTCGCGTCGTGAGGAATTCAAGACGGGACGGGAGGTTTTGCCTGTTGTAGCCCTCCAGGGTGAACAGCTATTCGGGATGAGCAGTCGATCCCCAGGAAGGGGCCTAGACCTCCTGTGGGCCCACGTCATGAGACAGATCAAGAGCTGAGCTGGTTCGCGTTGTCCCCCCTCATTTTGCCCAACAGGCCCCCAGGCGTCTTTCACCCTCGGAGCCCGTGACCCCACCGCTCCTATGAAATTCGGACCGTGGGCCGTCTTGGGCCTGGAGGAGAACCCAGCTGGCGGAGGAGATCAAAGCCTCGCTGTCCAACGAGGTGGTCAAACTGGAAAATGTCGATGCCGACTCGAGGCAGGAGTTTCTCGAAACCTTCCGCCGAGCTGGAGAAGATCATTCAGAACGCCCGCACTGGTGGCACGCGCTCGCTGCCCCCGCGGGCCATGTCAGGCTACGCGTCCTCATTCCCGCGCTTCCGCGCTTGGGCTTTTGGTCAAAATGCTGCAAATGCTGCTCTCGCTGAAGCGCTGGCCTCATTTTCGGGCTACCGCTCGTTCCGAATCGTGCTCCCGCTGCAGCGCTGGCCCCATTTCTGCGCTTCCGCTCGTTCCGGATCGTGCTCTGGCTGCAGCGTTGGCGTCATTATTTCCAGCGCCATGCCACGGCATGGTTGTCAGTTCTTCCAAATAGGCACCCAAACCTTTTAAAATGGCAAGTGATTACGCATTCGGTGTCGATTTGTTGAATTCTGGGGCCGCAGAACCCCAGTCGAGCCGGGCATGCATCGCATGATGCATCGATCGATTTTTAGTATGGTGTGTATTTTTAATCGTTTTCCTCAGCATTTCGTCGACTGCCCCTCTGCGAAACAATTTCAGAGAAACCTACGGTCGACGGCAGTTGAGGCCATCAGGTCAGGCCACTGCGCCTGGCGCAATCTTTTCAGCGTGCCTTGCCGCGCTCCGCAGCTACCCCCTCGTTCGTGTTTCGGTCTGAGGGTTCGTCGTAGAACCCCCCCCCCACTTCAGGGGCGTCGCCACGCCATGCTATGTCATGCTACGCCATGCTACGACATCCGACTGCGCGAATCGAGAGGAGATCTACGCCATGGTAAGTATTGGGAGGGAGGGGTAGGACGTCAGATATGACGCGAGCGCACCTAGCTTGACGATTTCACAATATGAATGCTACTCTCTTCTCTCCCCTGGTGACGTCCGGGAAATGGCGGCCCCCCCTCCGCGTGCTGGTTTTTTACACAGGATTCCCTGGAAACGGGTTTTCGCTTGTTTTTTTTTGTTGTTTTTGTTCCCGAAATGTTGTCTTTGCTGAGGCGCTGGCTTCATTTTCGGGCCACCGCTCGTTCCGAATCGTGTTCCCGCTGCAGCGCTGGCGTTATTTCCGTGCTTCGCTCGTTCCGGATCGTGCTCCCAATGCAGCGTTGGCGTCATTATTTCCAGCGCCATGCCACGGCATTGTTTTCGGTTCTTCCAAATCGGCTCCAACATTTAGAAAAGCCCCCCCCAAAAAAACATCAGAAGTGGTTACACATTCGGTGCCGATTCGTTGATTTGTGGGGTCGCAGAAGCCCCCCCCATTGTGGGGCGTCGCCACGCCATGCTATGTCAGGCTCCGCGTCCTCCGAATCGTGCTCCCGCTGCAGCGCTGGCCTCATTTCCGCGCTGCCGCTCGTTCGGAATCGTGTTCCCGCTGCAGCGTTGGCGTCATTATCTCCAGTACCATGCCACGGCATGGTTTCAGTCTTTCGAAATCGGCCCCAAAATAAAACAATTAGCCTCCCGAAGAAACCATCAGAAGTGATTACACATTCGGTGTCGATTCGTTGATTTGTTGGGCCACATAGGCCCCTCCCCCCTAGTTTTGGGCGTCGCCACGTCATGCTATGTCATGCCACGCGTTGATCTTCAACACCATGCTATGCAATATCATGTTATGCCATGCTGCGACATTGAGACAAAATCTACGCCATGGTAAGGGATGGGAGAAAGGGGTAGACTGTCAGATATGACGCGAGCGCACCTAGCTTGTTCTCCTCCCCCGCCCCCTCCTCCTCCTCCTCCTCCTCCTCCTCCTCCTCCTCCTCCTCCTCTTCCTCCTCCTCCTCTTCCCCTGCTTCTCCTCGTCATCCTCCTCCTCCTCGTCCTCGTCCTCGTCCTCCTCCTCCTCCTCCTTCTCCTCCTCCTCCTCCTCCTCCTCCTCCTCCTCTCCCTCCTCCTCCTCCTCCTCCCCTGCTGCTGCTGCTGCTGCTGCTGCTGCTGCTGCTGTTTGGCTTCTCCTTCCCTGCTCCTCCTCCTCTTTCTCCTCCTCCTCCTCCTCCTTCTCCTCCTCCTCCGCCTCCTCCCCCTCCCCCCGCTTCTCCCCCTTCCCCTCCACCTGCTTATCCTCCTCCTCCTCATCCTCCTCCTCATCCTCCTCCGACAGGCGCCGGCAACAGCCAGGGCCCACGCGGCGGAAACTCGGGGCACGGACCAAGAGTTCCGGAAGAAACAACAATGTACCATCCAGCGACGTTCTCCCCGCCGCTTGACCCCACCTCCTCTTGAAAGGAATTCGGGTTCACCCTGAAGGCCCCCATGATCATGAGGTCGCCCGATCGCCTGCAGCCATGGCCCGTGCTCTCAAGGAGCCGTGGAAGCCCACCTTCACAGGATCTCCAGTCGACGAGGAGGCCGTCAAGGAGCACCTGCGTGTGCACCCTCCTCCCTTCGACACCTCCGACCTGCCCATCCCCACAGGACATCAACTGGGGCGCGCTCTGGAGCACGCCCCGCCCGTCGGCTCCAGGCCCAGGTTGCCGTACGCTGCGTGGGCGGCTACGCCTGGTGCAATATCTACTTTGCATGCTGTCATGTTGCAGATGTTCTCAACAGGCCACACCCACGTATTGTGCGTTTCCTCCCAAAGGGGTCGGATGTTGCCGATGATATCGATTGTCTTCGGGATGCCGTCTGCGTTCGCCCTCTTAGTTTGAAGAACGCTGATTTCGAGATAGTGGCATCGGCCGTTAATCGTGCGTGGAGCTTGGACCTCTCTGGTCAAGGAGCGCGTGAACCCCGTGCAACAGGGATGTGTCCCAGGGCGCCAATTTACAGCCAACATCGTCTCATTCGACCTCGAGGCCCGCCGCGCTTCCCATTTCCCAGAGCGCCAGCCGCTGTTTCTCTCTTTTGACGTGCGCGCCGTATTTCCTAGCCTATCCAAGGTTTTCCTCTTCCTCTCCCTCCTTGCCCATGGCCTCCCCGAGAGTTTCATGAACGCCATTCCGTGGCTTACATGAGCTCCCGGTCGGCTTCGCGAAGCTTGGGTCCACCAGGGAGCCGTTTTGTTTGATCAGCTCCGGAGTCCTACAAGGATGACCGTTGAGCGGGGCTCTCTGGGCACTAGCATTTGACTCCTCTCTTCGCCACCTCCGCGGACTGCTCCCCTTGAACTTCCCTGCGGCGGCGTCCGCCGGTGACATAAAGCTAATGCCAGCAAAGGCTCGCCTGCTCAGCGCTGTTCTGGCACCTTTCCGAGCCATGCGAGCGCTGGCAAATCTTGCATTCCAGGACGGCAAGTACAACCTTGTACCATTATGGGGATCGTGTTCGCCCCTGTCGAGGCCGAAGCTCGCGCTCTCCCCGGTTCTTTCGGCCCTTTGTGTTCTGCGTTTGCCACTGCTGGAGCCTGCAAGCTCACTGGTGTTTACATTGGCCTTGCTGCCACGCTCGCCATGCAGTGGCGAGCTGCTGCCCAGAAGTGGCAGGCTGCCGTCGGCGCTGCGATGGCCATCAATGTATATATATATATACAAATATATATACACGTACGTTACCTCGATGCTGCTTGTGTTGTCATACCTTGCTCAGTTGTTTGCCGTCGATCGCAAAGTACTGCGGTACGAGATCTTTGCGCTGCACAAGGTCTGCCGGCTACCCCCCGACTCTTTGAAACTGGCCGATTTCCACTCCCTCCGCTCGTTGGGAAAAGCCGGGCTCACCTCCGTCGTCACATACAGTGTCGCCGCGGTTTGGCGTCTTTGTTGATTTACGATTGAAGGGATTTGGAGACCTCGGCTAGACGCACTTTCGGAAACAGCCCACGTGCATGGCTCCTTAACCCGGTGGGTCCGCGGACTCGTCAGTCCACCTTTCTGGCAGCAGCAGCAGAGCATCAGAGAGATGTACTCATTGATCGCTCGCGGCCGCCCCATCCGGATGTCATCTCGGCGACCGATTTCAACTGTCTGCTTGCGCACCGCCCCAAAGGGCCAGCCGCGAAGCAGTCGCGCAGATCGCGCTCGATGGTCAGCGCGCTAAGCTTCGACAGGCTGTCGTCCGCGCTTTGTCTACGTCCATGCTCTCCGACACCTCCGCCTCAACCATCGCCAAGCGTTTGAAAGCGTTGGATCGGTCATCCGACGTGCCTGCCGACTTAGAGCTCCGCTGGCACTCGCTGCGGCTCGACCTCGCGCAGATGTCACTAGCCACTAGTGGTGCGTAGTGCAGACATTGTGCGCGGGCTGGATCACGTCCCACAGGATGCATGTCCTGAAGCATCGTCCTTGCCGTTTCGGCTGCTCGGCAAGGGACTCCACGTGCAATTACTAGTGGTGTCCACGTCTCGCACATTTCGCCACCCTCCCCTCGGACTTCCCGTGTCCTCGCTTACTCGTCGTGTGGGGAATCGGTTCCAATCAGGACCATGCGTCCCCAGACGATACTCGCCCGGCGGTCATCCGCAAGTTGATCATCGCTTTTTTGTTCACACTGTGAAATTCGTGCTTGACTCTTTGCCAGAGCGTCACAGAGAACGCGCCCGGGGCTCTTATGGCTTCGCTCACAGATGCCTTCTGGCGGCCCGCCAGAGCGCCGAGCTTTGATCTTCTCCTCCTCCTCCTCCTC